AAAGAACTGGAGGGGATTCCAAGATCAGAATTATTGAGTGGTGATTTAAATAGAATTATCCGAATAAGCTTGTTTCTTTTAATTATCCGAAAATCACTCGGCACAACCATCCATTATGGGTACTTATAGAAAAAAAACATCCATTATTGGTGGGCCCAGGTGCTAGTGTCCATCAAATTTATATTCGGGTCGAACTTTTAACTCAGCATGGCTTTCTCAGTCAAGACGATTGTAAACGATAATAGTTGTTGTGTTAGCTGGCGAGTGGCGACGACGACTTGAATAAGTCAATACCCCACATTCCATCCATCCGCTCTCTGCTTGTTGCTCTTTATTATTTATTATGTTCTCGTTACCCATGCCTTCAACGATTTGGCTCCTCCTCTTCCTCCTTCATCTTCGTACCTTCTGAAGAGAAAGAAAATGGAGAGAAAAGGCAAACCAAGGAAGAAACAAGTGTCCGGATCGATGATGGTCAATATCATCGTTTCTTTCTCTGCTACCAAGTTCCCTGCTCCTCTCACCTTGTTCATTTTTCTTTCATGTTTTCTCCACCTCCAAGTTCTTGCTGATACCTCACCTACCGCAAGGGAAACGCTAGATGTTACAATAGGCGGTGGTGGCTATTACCAATATCCACCTCCACCTCCCGAAACCAAATATTCACCACCACCACCTCCTCCTCCTCCCGAGCCCAAATATCCACCGCCACCACCGGCTTTTGAAAGTGAACGACTCAAGTTAGTGTATCCTTACATCGTGGAATTAAGAAAACGACTCGAGTACCATGACCCCAAAGGCAAATTGAAGTCTTGGAAAGGCACAAATATCTGCAAATTCGAGGGCTTGTACTGTGAAACCGTGCCAGATTTTAAAGTCAAAGCACTCGCCGGTATTGACTTCAACGGTTTCAATTTTGGCTTAGGTTCCAACGTAAGCCTTGAGGGTATCATCGAGAATCTCTCTGATCTCGCTATCTTCCACGCCAACTCCAACTTCTTCACCGGTAAAATCGTCTCCCAGATCGGCAAACTCCGATTTTTGTACGAGTTGGACTTGAGCAACAACAAATATACTGGTTCCTTCCCAATGCCCGTCCTAAACGCTAAAAACCTGTCCTTCTTGGACCTTCGGTTCAACAGCTTTTGTGGGTACCTCCCACCTGACGTGTTTACGCTGAACCTAGACGTTCTCTTCGTCAACAACAACCAATTCGACGGTCCGATCCCCTATAACCTCGGTAGCACGCCGGCACGTTATATCACTTTTGCTCACAACAGGTTCTCGGGTTCGATCCCGCGAAGCATTGGCAAGGCCGCGGGTACCTTAACTGAGGTGCTCTTCCTCAACAACCAGTTGTCAGGTTGCCTACCCTACGAGATTGGCCTCCTGAAGAAGGCAACGGTGTTCGACGCCGGGAACAACCATTTGACGGGTCCGATACCGTACTCGTTCGGGTGCTTGAAGAGAATGCAGCTGCTCAGCTTCGCCGGTAATAAACTTTACGGGCAAGTACCGGAGGTAGTGTGCGCACTTCCTAAGCTTGCTAACTTGTCTCTGTCGGACAATTACTTCACTCAGGTGGGTCCCAAGTGTAGGCACTTGATCAAGAAGGGGCGACTCCATTTAGAAAACAATTGCATTCTGGACCTGAAATCACAGAGATCACCGGCTGAATGTGAGAAGTTCTTTTCATCAAGCATGGAGTACTGCAGCTACGAGAAGACGTTTAATGTGATTCCATGCAAGCTTCGTCACCATTCTAAGAAAGCCTCGTCAACTCCTCCCTCAGCACCAGCAGTCAGTCCCTCGCCTTCTTATAAGGCTCTCTTAAGGCATCGGCTGTGATAGAGATAGACTGGCATCTCTCTCTCTCTCTCATGCAGTTGGGCTTCGTCATTCATACTCTGTTATGTTGTATTAATGAATAATAATTCCTCGTCGCGTGGTAAAAGCAATTAAAAATAACGAAAATCTCCCTGTAAGCTCTGTAGCGTTGTACTGTTGTAGTAGTAAAGTAACACAATAAGCTGTTCAACTGATTTCCTTAATTCATCGTGCTTGCCATGTTTGAGTTAACAGCCCTTGGTCAAACAAAGAGAGTACAACTTACCTTCATTCATTCTTTTACAGAAAAAGTAATTAGTGATCGCATGAAGAGTAGTGTTTTATTTGTCGTATGCGTCTTTGTTTAAAATTTAAATTCCTTGTGGGACATGCCATTTTGATGAATTCTTAGCACAAGGCGTTAAGTTCAGTAGATCCGGATTCCGGAGTGATGGCCAGTAAGCCTTACTCTACTTCCGATTGATAACCGAAATTCCGAAACATGGAACCGAGTCAGCTCTAATCCCTAGCTTAGCTGTTTGACTTTAGAAAGATTTTTTGGAAGCTTTGGTAATCAAAAGAAGAATGTGAGCATTAGTTCAGAGAATGTTTGGTAATGTTGGGATATGTACATTGCTGATGTGGGCTATTTAGGGTGTATTTGAGACTTGGCTCTGCTTAGAATTACCATGTATGAGCCCCACATACACTTACCACTATCTTGCATTGATCACGAATAACACCATATGGATCCCTTACAGTTTTCTCATAAGTGGGTCCCACATGTCAAGTTTATGGGGCCCACCCGTATGAATTTGTATTTGTTATACAGACTATAATTGAAGGAACTTCGAATATGGTATTGTATATCTAGATGTGTGTAACTACAGAAACATGTCCAAAGCAGTTTGCAAAACATATCCAGTGTCCTTATAAATCATTTTATGGACTAACAAGATAATAATTACGGAAAATTTCTTAAACTACCCCAAAGTTTTAAGAAATTGACTAACTATACCCAACTATTTCAATATTGTCGTAAAGTATTCCTACTGTTTCTGACAATTAACTAAGTGCCTGTTTGGCAAATCTTTTTCAAAAGATCTATTGCAAAATCTGATGGTTAAAAGAATAGGTGAGCTTTTGCAAGTAGATCTTGGAAAACCAAATACTGTTTGGTTAGAACATTTTTAATAGATTTTCGGAAAGACCATAAAAACTGGAAAACTGTTTGGTAACTCCATGAAAATATGTGTTATATATATGAATGTCTCATGTGTGGGCCAACAAACCATTCATTTAACACATGTGGGACCCACATATAGGTCAATATGCATTTCATAGTTGTGGGCCCCTTGTGCATTTACCATAAATGGGCCCTACATTAAATCCACATATGCATATCCATCACTACGGGGTCCACAAATATTTTTTCAAGGTGGGCCCCACATACATTTCAACATATATATAATACGTAATGTCGACCCCACATACATTTCAACATATATATAATACGTAATGTCGAACCCACAAACATTTCAGCATATAAATAATACATAATGTTGGCCCCACATGCAATTCCAACTATGTATATCCTTCCTTATGTTCATAAATATTTTTTCTATGTGGGCCCCACATACATTTCAACATATGCATAATGCACTAATGTGGGCGCCACATGCAATTCCAGCTATGTATACCCTTCATTATGGAGTTCATAAATATTTTTTTAATGTGGGCCCCACATACATTTCAATATATGCATAAGGCATTAATGTGGGCCCCACGTGTAAGTCCACTTATGCATGTCATTCATTTTGAAGCCTATAAATATTTTTCAAGGTGGGTCCCATGTACATTTGACATATGCATAATGCATTAATGTGGGCCCCACATGCAATTTATATCCTTCATTATGGAGTCCATAAATATTTTTTCAATGTGGGCCCCACATACACTTCAACATATGCATAATACATAATGTGGACCCCATATGTATTTACCATTGGTGGGACCCACTTACACATTCAAATTTTTTGTACATGTTAGTAGCATAATAACCTTAATTTTAATAATACAACTTTAGTATTATACAACTACAAAGCATATCCAAAATGGAAAAACCATACACCAGTTCATAATAGGAGCATACTAACCACACTTTTAGTGGTATCTATCCTACTTCTAAACTAACAAAATGATAATCAAAATTAGCAAAATAAGGATCAAACACATCATGGCACAACAACAAGCACAAGCCCCAATTGCAACAACCCACTCTTTCTTGTAATCTGCATGTTCATGAGCAATACTATGTTGATGCAAACTTCTAATTCTTCCGAGGTGTAGTTATTTGCCCACATGAAGTTATATTCATGTGGTTGAAAGAAAAAAATGTTAATAATTTTCAATCCATGTCAAACACAAATATTGATCAATATGGTTTTTTGGGTATTGGACTTATACCTCACCGGTTGGACATTTATAAAACCATATTCTGTAATTTTTCTCGGTTTTTGCCATCCACAATTTCATACGTCCATGCCAACATGGACACATCGGTCCCTTTCGATTTGTTGCCATGACTAAATAACAAAACAATTGAATATCATATCACAATAAAATTGTTTGTAACCTAACAAATGATTTGTGAAATTTCCAACAAGCACATGATCACTAGTCAAGAACATACCAATGTCATAATTAAAAACACATAAGCGTTAATTGTTAAAAACACATAAACATTAATTGTTCAATAATTTATTGAAATCCCCAACTAATTTGATTGCCTCCTACGTATACTTCTTGGGCGGGTGCGATTGACACCTAAGTTGTAATGATCAACCATCTTGAACATAATTTTATCACGAACTTGCTCCATCCGTCTAGATGCCTGAGATCCTACATCAATAGTTGTTGGTGTTGTACCATGAAACATTCCTCCCTCTCCTTCAATAGGAACACCATCTTGAAGGAAATCATTCCAACACACATCTTGGATTCTCGATAATCGAATGAAATTATGTAACACACAACAAGCAAATACAATTCTAATTTGCTTGTGAAGTGGGTATGGAGGCATCGACTTTAGTATTGGGAATCTTGCCTTAAGAACACCAAAGCAATGCTCTATGACATTCCTTAATGAAGAATGAATATAATTAAAGTACTCTTCGGCATTCTTGGGTTGACCACCTCTTTCTTGAAAGCCTCTTAAATGGTATATCTCTGATCGATATGGAGACAGGAATCCAAGCATATTTGTATAACCCAAGTCAACTACGTAATGTATTAGTGTATTGAATAAAAAACTCCAGTGAATTATTTGATAGTTTTGCTAACCTTTTGGTGGTAACGGGAACATATTGTCGGGGTTTTGAACCGTCTCCAAGAAAACTCTTGAATCATGTGCAATACCCTCAAATCCTGCCTCAACAAAAGTGAAGAGCATGTCAAACGAACATTCACACATCACATTCTGGGTGGTTGTTGATTTTCTTCCATTGAATGGAACTTGATCACTAAATGGAACACAAGCATGAACATAGATGGGTTCCACCTATTGCACCTACACAATTCTGCAGATGAAAAAAATAATTCAGTTTGGTGATGAATTTTTTAATAAAGAATAAATAATTAAAAAAATTATCTCAAATATAGTATGAGATACCTCGAACCATGGATAATATTTTGGATTGTTGAGTATCTCAGGCGGTACAGTAGTTAGATCACCAAGTCGTACAATTTCCTTGCCAAATTCACAAATTGCTTTCAATGCGGAATTAAAGTGTCATGAAATGATTTCCCCATAGTGTTTTAAGCAGTCTACAGAATCTCTATTCACTATAAGAAAATTGAGCTTTGGCAATAGGCAATTCATTACAGTTGTAAATGATTGTTGGCACAAAAGATAAATATTAGCTACAATGATCAGAATTGTTGCTAATACAGATGAATTGGCAACGTTTTAGCTTTAACTGTTGCTAAAATATTGAATTGGGAACAAAGCTTATTAAATATACATGATGCATATTTAGGAACAATCATACAAAGATTGTAGAAACAAATATACTTGATGCATCAACAAATATATTATAGAACATAATTTCACTTTTACGAATGGGATTAAGTCAATCCTATGACAATAACAAAAAAATTATGCCTCCATACATTTTATATTCTTTAATGAGTAGCTAAATTTTCGAATAGGAATGTAAATAACGAGTTAAATATGTAAAAATTATTAAATAGTTAGATATAATGATGGAGATGTTTAATTAAAAATATAGAAAATGCAAAAGGTGATGAAAACTCCATGTTTTTTGAGTTTCAACCTTTATGACATAAATATATAATTTCTATTTTTGATTAATAACCAATTGTGGTCACTTGGTCATATATTACACTAATTTTTAGCATTTTTTTTAAATAAACAATTAAAATTGAAATAAAAATATAAATTAAACATAAAATAATAAATAAATATACATATTTTACATGTATGTAGAATATAATTATATATATATATATATTAATTTATTGATATAATATATAAATCATTATTGATGTGTGGTCTGACCTGTTTGATGACCTAGATGATCCAACCAATGACTCGTGACCTAGAGGGCAAGAATGGTCGACCCTTGGGTTAGTTTTTTTATAATATTGTTTTTATGGCAATGTCAAAGGATTGGGATTAATATGACTTTGATCCAACCACAAAATGTCTTGAAACAAATTTGACTTGAACCTGAATCCAAACTGATTGAATGGAAAGGGGGATGCCAAACCCGGCCACTATGCCCTACCTCGTATACAATACACGTATATTCGATTGGCACTATATTTTATAGGAATGGCAATAGCGCTAGTTTAGGGTGGGGATCATATTCCCAACCCATTACCAACCTTAATCTCCATCGGAGATAAAGATTGTCCTCCATCTCCAATTGCCGATAAGAACGGGTTTCTTGTGGAGACTCGAATCCCTGAAATTTTTTAGTTAATAGTATTTTTGAAAAATAAATTTACTTAAAATAAATAAAAAATTTTAAATATAGATAATATTTTAAATATATAAATAATATTATAAATATAATAATATATTTAATATATATAATATCAGGGTCAAGGCAAGACAGGGACCTCATTTCCCATCCTTGACCTTGACCTCCAATCAGGGACCCCTATTAGTCCCAATCCTCGTCCCTACTTGAACCCGACCCAAAATCTATTTGGGGCTGACATCTGCATAGAGGTGTAAAACGGGCTGTACTGGTGCGGGCTGTGTCATGCCAACCCATGGGCCATCTCGGGCCATTTCGCCCCCTAGGGATAACTTAGAGGGTCGGCCCAGGCCGTGCATCAGATCAAAGCAATTTATTTAAAAAATTGACAAAAACTTAAAATTTTAATTTTATATAAATTTTGATGTATAAAATTCTTATATACATAATAATTAAATAAATTAGTATAATAAAATTAAAAAAATTATTTATTTTATTGATATATTATATACTATATATTATTATATAATTATAATTTATATAATATTATATAAAATATATATATGGGTCGTATTGGGCCGGGCTGTGGGCTGGGCCGTTCGGCACAAGGGCGTACCGCCTACGGGCCATCGTGTCGGGCCGCGGGCAGATTTACACCTCTACATCCGCAATAGGATTGGGCAATTAAAATTAAAAATATAACAAGATGACTTACCAATGTCTTCATCCGTTCATCCGAGTGGTTAACTCAATTACCCAAAATAAAATAAAAAGATAATAATTAGATGTTATTTTTTTTCCAAAATTAATGGTTGCTAATTACAAAACTTCCTTATTTCCACCACCACATTCCACATTTAATACTTTTCCCTCCAAAGAATCCCACGCTAATCCCAAATCTCCCTCATCACTATTCGCGCGTCGTCTTTGTGGTCGACTTGTTGAACTGGAACACTATCGACAAGTTATACGAGTTCTTCTTCAACCAGAACAACAAATCCTCATAGAAGTTTGCAGAGGTTGATTTTAGCCATTGGCGAGTTTGACTTCTAACATATTCAGACTTCACGTTCTACCTATTTAATTGGCATTTGCAAAGGTTAGAATCGCTCATACTAGTTTCCTATGATTCATTCTAGATTTAGGTAAGAATTAATCTTTTTGTTTCTTGCTATCACTATTCGCGCGTCTTTGAGGTAATAATAGGTTTACAGGGGGTGGCGCTGTGGTCAATCAAGCCAGACAGGGGAAAGACATTGAGGTAATGATATTGGTTTATCCAAAATTTTCATATGCATCTCCTTTTTTCTCTTTTCCCATTTAACATTATTTTTGTAATTTGTTTGTTTGAAGGATCGATTGCTTTCTCCAGCCCATAAGCTTTGAACGACAACATATATCATCAGGAAGAGAGACTGAATATTAGGTTAGTTGTGTATCATATACTTACTCTCTTCATATATTTATCTTTTTCTTCTCTGTGTATTTTGGGTTTGGTTTCAAACATAAGACTGTTAATAGCAGAATAAATTTACTCTATGCTGATCTTTAAATCATGATTATTTATTCTGGCTAACCAATTAATGGTTGCTCGGTTGGTAGGATCTTTGATTTGTTGTAATAGAGACTTGGGATAAAATCTTGTTGCCACCAGGGATGGGGGTTAAAAGGATGGGGAAGGGCTGCCCCTTGTTGTGTATCCCATGAAGCCAAAAGAAATGCACTCTTTTGAGAAATTTCCAAAAAACAAAACCTGATTTGGTTTGGTTTCATGAACACAACTACAATAGGGATTAGGGTTTCAATAAGGCTATTTAGAGAAATAGCAAGTGTGGGAAGTTAAGATGGATTAATTGAACATATGTAAGAATTACATATGTGCAAAATCAGTGTGTTAAAAAAGTAAACAAAATACCAATTGAATATTGTAATTGTACAAAATTGAAACCTGTAGATCACAAAAAAATAAAAGAAAGGGTTGGGGATTGCCATTACCCCATATTTGTAATGGTTCAATGTTGTGGAATGCTTTATGTCCCTGGAGTGGGCCTTTGTTAGTATCTCACACTGTCTATATGTTGTTAGGTTTTTTCGAATAAAATTATACCTCAACTTTTTTTAAGAAAAAAATAAAAACTTTTAATGGAAGCTCCTTTGCTAGTTTTTAATAATATCAGCTTTTTAGTAGCCATAAGCATCGGAAATAAACTAATAGTAGGTGTTTTAAGAATGATTAGAAAATTGGCATATTAATATTAGAAGTGAAAGATCAGCTCAAATGCAAAAATATAGTTAGGGAATATATGCCATATAGATTTCTGTAAGTATAATTGAAGAATTCACATATTAGAACCCATTACCAAGTATGCCATCTACACTGCCTTTCTGCTGATTAGTTCCTTTAAATTGATCATTCCAGAACTGCAACAAGTAACTAGTCAGAACAAAACCTTACATGCAGCAAAGAAACCAATGGAAACTGGTAAGCCACCATATGCATATTGACTATCTAGAAAGACCAATATAAACAGTTGAGTAATTAAAATATCAATAAATGAGAAAACTTGCCTAGAGTACAAATAGACATACAATATTGACACTCAGGTTTCATCTTAACTCAATCAACTCTCTATTCAAGCTAATCATCTGGCTGCTGACTTCCTTCACCTTAGACTTGGCACATGCACTATGGCTTGCCTGATATCTCACTTCCCTTAATGGACTGTTAACAGAATTACAGATATTCCTTTTCTTGATATCTCAACCTCCTCTGAGGCTACACCATTTTCTAAGATTATGAATGAATTGGAAGTAAAGAAAATTATTTAATCAAATTATCTTGTTGGTTTTGTATGTTATCTTTCAAGTCATGTTTGACTAGACCTCTGTACTATGTATGGGGTCACTAAACTGAACTATTTCGTTTTTTTAATTAAGTTAGGTTTTTTATTCGATTTTTTAAATTCTTTCTTGGATAGAGTTTTTTATTTGATTTAAAAGATTAAATCAGGTTTTATTTGTAATTTATTAGAAAGATTAAAATGGTCCCACATCTTCTGAAGTGTTTTTGTTCTTTTGATGGGTAGCCACATGTCTGAAGTTAACACCTTTTCTGGGAGTTGGGTTCATTACTCTCACTTGTCTGAAGTAGAAACCCTCTAGTCTGAGGGCTTAGAGGTCACTTGGCTGAAATAGAAGCCCTCTAGTATGAGGTCACTTGGCTGCCAACCTGGAAGTGTCCAATCAGGTCAATTGCTCATTTTTCCCTTGCATTTGACTGTCAAAGTGAACCTGGAAGTGTTAGGGGCAAGACAAAAAGAGCATGGATTGAAAAAACCTAGAAAATTTACTGGTTATTTTTTCAGGGTCTATTGGTTTCAATAACTCTTCAAGGTAGAACTGATGGCCATATTGGAGGGTTTGAGAAAATCCGAAAGTTTTGATTACAGAGGTATGGTGGTGGAAGTGGACTCAATTGTACTTGTGGGATGTTAGCAATAACAAAAATAGTTCTTGAAGATATGGGCTTACAGTAAGAGAAACTCTAAAGTTGGTTTGGGAATTGCAGGCAACATCCAAAGGTCAGCTAACAGCTTAGCAGATGCATTAACTATGCAAGGGGTCAGCAGGTTTCTATTGGGGGGAGGGGGGGGGTGAGTGGGTGGGGGTTCGTTCCCCATGAAAGTTGTATGTAAGTTGAATGTATGAAATTGGGGTTAGGTTGCTGGGTGTACCCTATCTTCCAAGTAACTAGATGGCTGTTTGTATCTCAATAAAAATGGGAGGTTCCTTAAAATATATTTTGGCACTGCTGGAGGGTTGTTCTTAGAGCCTAGAGGTGTGGAGGTTTTACTACTTGATCTATGGAGGGTTGTTCTAAGAGTCTAGAGGTATGAAGGTTTTACTAACTGATCTATTACCCGCAGGCAGGTTGGGAGACCAGAGATCTTGTGGGGGGCACCAACCTCAGGGGTGCAGTAGCTTTTGTTAATCCCCTATTGTTTTCTCTTTTTATTTGGGTTGGGATCCATATGGGACCTCCCTCTTGTATAGAAAGGAAGAATAGGGGATGGATCACCCAGTCAACCCACTTAATTTTTTGGTTTATTGGCTGACTCAAGCAGGGGGTCCTACACTACATGACCACATAAGCATGAATGAAAGAAGAGGTGATTAGTTAACTTTTTAGATGTATCTTTCTCTTTGATGCCTAGACAGGCTCAGAATGGGTTCTAAGGTTCCATGCCTTGTGAATTTTCTCGTAATCACATTATGTAGTCTATTCTTTTCCTATTCTCTTTGTAGTGTTTTTGTCTTGTTGTTGGAATCCCTTTTACCAATATAAAAAAGGAAAGAAAATAAAAAGATATTGATACATGTTTCAACTTGTCTGCACCCTAGGTTTTGAAGTTTTTGATGGAAAGAAATAGTATAAATGCTCTACATGGCTAGGTCACAATTGGGACCCTTATTCTCTAGGTATGGAACATCTTCTTATATTCCATTTTATGAATGCCATTTTAATAAACTTTTAATACATATCATGAACTGACTACTTACTGGAAACTCAACCACCGGAAACAAATATTTTTTTTTTATTGCCACATTAGTCAGTTTGAACATTTATGTATTTTTTTGAGAAAAAGTATTGTATTACTTTTTTTAGAAGCTGTTACCATCTAAAGTGAGAAAACACACAAAAAATGTAGGTAGGCTCAAAACTTTCTAGCAAGAATCACAAAAAGAAAGTAGCAGACTCAAAAAAAATTGGTGGGAGATGTGCTTAAATAAATCTCACAGCCAGCCATTAATGTACAGACCCAATTGTTCTCCTAGTGATTTCTTCCATAGAAGTGCTTTTTTCTTTAAATATTCTCTGATTTCTTTATATAAGCAAACTCGTGGTTGAACTCGAAGTTTTCTTCATGTACCAGGATTGTGCTGTGGGTTTTCTGTTTGCATTGCTTCCCGTTCTAAGTGGTACTTCTGGTGTTCTTCAAGGAGTAATATCCATGACTAAGTCATAAGTAAAGAACCTGCAAATTCCCTTCCCCTTTTTAGTGGTTCCTGTTCCTTTTACTTTTGATGAAATTATTAACTAGTATTGCAGAGGGATAGAAATTCATTTCTATGTATGAAGTGATTTGGAAATAAAATGTATTGAAAGGGAAAACAAGAAAATGGGGGAATGGCTTTACATGATTCTTAATTTTTTCAAATACAAATTGGTAACAGATCAAGCAGGCTTAGTACTTCAAAAGTTAAGAGAAAGAATGTATAATACAATGAGAGAGAAAAAGTAGAAAAGCAAAGGGCATCATCCTTGGTCTGTTTCACAGTGTTTCCATACTTACCTTTAGAGAATCATTTCCTTCTGATCAGCTATAGCAGCCTAGTGCAACTCATTTTTTCTTATCCGTCTTCTTGCACTGCCCTCTGGTTATCAGTATTTGGATGCACTTTTTTCAGCTATTTTGTAGAGTTTGAGTGATCCCCAGGAGTTTAGCAAAGCTAATCTCAGTTTGGTCTACCTTGGAGCTAAGCAGGAAGGGTAACATCCTCTGGAAATTGTATCCTTTTTGTTGGTCTATTTGGATGGAGAGGTAATGGCAGAATATTTGATAGGGAAATAAATGGGTGCAAATTGAGGGGCACATCCTACATTCAAGCTACAGACAATTGGGTGCAAATTGTATTCAACCTAAGCTATGCTAGTTGACTGTCTTATCCCTTTGTATTTATCTCTCTATAGAATATAGTTCCTTGTACAGTTTTGAGGAAACCTCTTCCTCCTTTATTTTATATAAATTCAAATACCATTTACCCTTTATAAAAAAAGGGGGTCATTACCTGATGTTTTTTAGGGAAAGAGGCAGGATTTCCTCAATAGCTTTCCATGGGTACATCAATGTTATATTTGAAGCAAATCCCCAATTCCAACTCGCCAACATATGTACTGATATTTCCTTTTTCTTATGAATTGAATTAATAATTTGAATATATTATCTTTGTTCCAAGGTGATTATGAACTTCATTCTTGAGATATTCTTAATTGTGTTATTTTGTGTCGAACAATGGCTATTAGTCGATACTGAACTTTCCCTCTATCAGGTTGGTTCTGTTGATTTCATTTTTGGCCATTTTGTCAATACTATCTCGTACGTGTGTACCTTGGTTCCTTAAGCTGATGATAAGTCTATCATCGCAGGTGTGGCTTTTATTAAATGACAGAACTACTGGAAAAATGATTTCAGTCTTATATTCTGTTATGCTGAAGTGCTTTCATCTTATCATGATTTTGACTAGTCTTATTCGTGCAGACAAATGAACTTTATCAGCTGGCTTCAGTTGCGTTTTGTTTACTTGTTGCTTGGGTTTGTCTCTCTTCTCAGGACTTGGACTTGTTTGCATTTCTTGTGTTAGCTTTGATGTGGACTCCCATGATGCTTGTAGCAGAACAACGAGCTCTAAGAATTGAGAGGAGACAAATCCAGAGGCGGAAGAGGCAAAGGAACGACCTCCCGAGCTCCCAGTCAACTGGATGATTCAGGTCAGTGGTCTTGTGACCATTGCACATATGCCAATGTTAAGTTTGCAAACACTTGCCAAATGTAGAGCAAAGTTAGAGCTCTTCAGGATGTGGAATCAACCTTTCATGAGCTATTTATCATTTTCAACAAACTAGCTGTCGTGGTTATGTAGCGGAAGGCACAATTCCAAATATGTGGATGGAGGCATTGGATCAAATTTTGTGTTAATTGTATTATGCATTAGATCAAAGTTTTTGTTAATTGTATTCTTTATATGAATGAATTTGGAAATTGTAAAATATTTTTAACATTGACAATAATTATTATAATATTTGCAACAATTTATTAAATTAAATCAACAATTAAAATGATGATTGGCAAGTAACAATTGCTTGATTGTTGCTATTTCAACAATAGTTTGGAAAAACCGATGCCATAAATAAGCATAAGAAACAATTTTCCAGTTGCCAATTGTACATTAACGTGATTGTTGTATATGAAACTTTGGGGTAACAATTGCCTATTGTTGCCTATTTAACAGAAGGGTTGTTGCAGATGCTAATTAGAGACAAATTTTCAATTGTTACAAATTTATAATTAACATTAATTAGTATGATTGTCGTCGAAGGTACCATTGAGCAACATTTAAGTAGCTGTTGCTAAAATTTATACGGGCAACGATTTTTATTAATTGTTGCTAAAACAAAACATTTGGCAACAATTCCAAATGGTTGTGGCAAAACACTATTACTTTCAGTAATTGGTCCAACTGTTGTGAATAGTATATTTTGCAACAATTGATTGTTGTTAAAAACTTTTAACAACAACTTCGCTAGCCACAACTTGTTTAGTTGTAACTAAAACATTAGGCAATAGTTTTTCCTATATTGGGAACAGTTTTTTACTGTTGCCAAATGCTAATTTTCTTGTAGTGATTTGATTTGTTGTGTCCTATGATCTTTAAAAGAATTCCAACCTGTTCATCAACGGATACATATCTACTATCTTTCACTCACCCTCACTATATCAATGCATTTACTCGGCTAACAAATGCTTCTGGGTAGGGCTGTTCATAAGAATGCCCAACCCAACCAAACCGACCTACTCGGACCGACCCAACCCGAGTCGGCTGGGTTTTCATTAGTACCGGTCGGTTTCGGGTTGGGAAAATATATAAACCAATATATCGGGTTGGTTTTGGTTTTCACAAGTAGTTTCCTACTTAACTATAACTAGTCTTCTACTAGAACTAGAAGGCCCATTAGGCAATTACAATTAGAATAGACAATTTATCCTAGTTTCTAACTTTTTATAATCTTTTACACCAAATAGGCAACCCATTAGACAATTACAATTAGAATTCAATTAGGTGTCCTTTTGTATAGGAGCAAAACCGAAACCGACCCAACCCGACTCAAACCGACCAGGTCAATTTGGCCTATCAGTGGGTCGGTTTCAGTTTCCACCTCAGGTAACCCAACCAGGTCGGGTCGGTTGGGAAAACCCCAATAAACTGACCCAACCCGACCCGTGAACACCCCTACTTCTGGGGTTATTCTAAACATTTCCAAACACCTATTACCTTCATTGCATATGACATTTTTCAACCACTCTGACCTAGTCAAAATGTCATTGTGGTAAGGTGTCTTTAAGAGATACATTTCTTCTTTCTCAAGTTCCTTCGCAATGAGGACATTTTATCATTCGCTACTCTTCATCATCTACAACAACATCCAAAATTACTTGCAATACTACCCTCTTGGCCGAATTATCAACTATTGTAAATCTGATACAACATTTACATATAAACATAAGGCTTTATGCTTGATTAATTGCAAACATGCATGCCATAAATTAAGGACCAAATGTGCTACCCTATCCATTAAACCATCCAAACAATAATTAATAACCAATCCACAAAACCATATAATACTATATGAATTGTATCTACTGAAACCATTGTTCAATCCTACACATATGAAGTAGTTTAAGAAGTCATAACAATTCTAAACAATTGTTCACCTAAAACATTGAAAAAAAAGGGGTTCGTGGATGAGAACATAACATTCAAGAGTCTAACGATTAAGGACACCGAACACCCAACTAAGATTAACAGGCATGTTAAAGAACCACTCTCTTGCATTTGGCTTCTCAAACACTTCATAAAGTTTTAGGTAGTCATTAAGATCCAACCCTTCAATAGAATTCAACTCTGCTAAAACATTGCTCATAGAGACATGATTCTCTGGTTTTTTATTCATTCCATTAATTGCTTCCACCAACTTCTCAAATCTCTTATTTGTTGATACATTTTGTTCAAAAATTGCATCAGAAAATTCAGATGGCCTCTTCCTACGAGCATTTTGCTTGGTGGTTGTAGTAGAAATTTGATCACCATCAATATTGGTAGAATCAGCAATGCCAGGTGATGGTTGTTGAACTTCTTCAAGGTGTGGATCATTAGAGACATGCCCGTCCTTCTAGGGTGGAGATTCCATTCTACATGCTAGAGATGCAGAGAACCTTCCTATAGGAGTGGTACCCTCAAATATAATTTCAAGGCTGTTATACTTTGGACAACCCATACTACGAAACATTTTTGCCTTGATGTTAGCCTAAAAAGATAAGGGGACACTAATCAATATATACATTTACATACATATAAAGTTCCAAATAAAGATGATCTCTAAATAAATTCAAAGTTTAGAAAATACCAATAAATAACTCTCCCATGTCTCTGGGGAGGCTACAACCATCTGCTTCTCGTTCCAGCCAAATCCCATTTGTTTGAACCTTAATTTCTTAAACTCCTTATACCTACTTTTTAGATCTTGTATTTTGTTACTGAAGGATTTAGTGTTGAATTTCAACCCAACTTGTGCAAAAAAGCTTTGTCGAACATCCTTCCAACCATTTGGTTTCAGACACCCAGAAACCATTCCCCACTCTGTACTTGAAGTACTAGTAGACCTGGACGGGCTTGAACATGCAAATGAGCCCGTGGGCTTAGCCTCGGGCCAAAAATCCTAGCCTGCAATAAATTCAAGCCGAGCTCCGGATTTGCCAAAATAGCCTGGCCCAAGCCCGGCCCAGCCCGACCTATAGACTAAACTTAAAAAACCCTGAGCCGAACCTCTCTTCTCTTTCACCTCTTTCACCTCTTTCCCCTTAGCTGAACCTCTCTTCTCTTCACATCCTCCTCAGTCCTCACACTCTCAGGCAGCCACACAACCGGCGAGGCGGCGAACATTCACCAGCGCAACAACTCCGACAGTGAGTCATATCCTTCTCTTTCTCTCTCTCTCTCTCTCTTTCTCTCTCTCGTTCCTCTTCTCACTTCTCTTTCAAATCTCAGACACCGGCAAGGCGGCGAATATAGGCACCGGCGGCGGCGGTGAGTTTTCTCTCTCTCTCTCTCTCTCTCTCAGACGCGAACTGACACGCTTTTCACTGTTAAAGTCACAGCTCACCACAAACTCAGCTCCGACGAACACAGTCACCGGCGGTGAGTAAAAGCCTAGGCTCGGGCTTCAGGCTTTTTACCAGGGCCGGGCTCCGGCTCGGGCCTAACAAATTTCTATTCATGAAGAGTAAAAGCCCGGCCCGAGCCCGGCCCGACCCATGAACAGGTCTAAGTACTAGTAAATCTATGAAAATATGCGCAAGAGTCCAATTTGCATTAATAATGGGTGCATCATCAAATGTTGTGGTATTGACTACACTATTTGCCGTCTATATAATAATCAGATCATTAGTTACTATCGAAGTGGTAGAATCATTTTAAATTTTGTGTTGAATAAGCAAATAACAGAAGTATGGAATTACTTGCAATGATAGGAGTCAACTATGGTAGATGATCTCAAAAAATATGCAAATGGCTATAATATAAAGCTGAACAAAAAAAGAAAACAAAGTTTGATAGCTTCAACAAACTTGCTGGTACAACCCCCAAGCAACCAAGTTCACCACCTTAGAAAGATACATTAAAAAAATATGAGGTATATGTAAACATGTCTTTTTACATCAGATCTACAACATGAAGTTTGTGATGAAACAAAACAATTTAATAGTGGAGAAGTATATGATATATGTAAACAGGTGGAGAAGCATATGATATATGTAAGTAGGTCTTTCACAACTCTATGTGGATTGCATTGTTGATCAGAAGTATTCATTAGAACACTCCCTTAATTAGCTTTAGGTTTTATTTTTTTTCTGCAATGCAAATAAATAAAATAAAGTAGAAACTGAAACAAAAATAAATAAGAATTTACACTGAAATCATCATTAGTGTCTACTATGTCAAGCCTCATTAAAAACTATTCTTAATGAATTTTATTGATAATATATAATATCCAAATTAATTCTGATGGATAATATTTCATTTAAATTCAAATATTATTGCTAACAGGAATTCAAATCTACATATATTTGATCTGGATGCAACCCATTTATAGCCTTGAATAACAATGAAAGCTCTAGAGAGATGTGCAACTCGGTCTGGTTTGGGTTTGAGGCCAATTTGATTAAGTAGCATGCTTTTAAGGCCCTAATTGAGTTAGATTGGGTGAGTGTGTACTTCTAGAGGGTCGGTGTATGCATGCTTTTTACAAATACTTATGTCTCACATGTTCAAATACCAATCTTTATAACTTGGAACCAACTATCAATAGAAATGATTCTGATGGAGCAAAATCTGTTTCACCCAATCTTTATAGATTGGAACCAAGTAGCCAAAATTTGTTTCACCCAATCTTTATAGATTGGAACCAACCAAATCAATAAATAGAAATGATTCTAATGCACCCAGATCAATAAACTGAGCTTCCACATTGCGCCTTTGCATCAAATATTATTGATTGCTTTACTCCAACATTTGAGTTCAAGTATGGATTCCAAAGCATCATAGCCCAAAGAAAAATCAGTATACATCTGGCAAAACTTATTGGGGATACAATAAGTGAGTAAGGAATCCATATTAGGGATAGCATATAAGCACATTAGGAAACAGTTAGGTGATAACTGTTATTCACTCCATTACATAGGTCAAAGATATTTCATAATCCCCAGTGAATGTGACATGATGCAAGAAAGCTAGGGCTTATGAACAAGGACAGCTCTTCACCCAAAATGAATTATTGGCTAGACAAGACAGTCCGCCTTCTAATCACAACCAGTAGTCAGTCAGCAAGATTAAATCATATTAATTCAATTACAGTGGAATTGTGCTTCTCTTTGTTGCTTTGGACTAATGTGTGGTAGATCATAGATATATAGATGCATTGGATCTTTTTTTTTTTTATCTATCTATAATCA